TGTCTAACTCATCCACTCTTGCCTTTAACGTATCTATCTCTGTATCTAATAGTATTGCTACCACACACAATCCCTGTAATGCAGTCTTTTTCTTCGCCTTAAAATTTGGAGTTTCCCATGCTGACCCACATTTCCCATTTCTTAAAGAATGCCATGGGACTGGTAGAAGCTTCAAGCTTCCAGAGACCATTACCATATTCGGTCAAGCTGCACCGCAAAAGCATTTCCAACCTTTCCAGATGTTCCCTTTCCTTCTGTCATATTTTCTCCCTTGACCAGGCTACCAACCTTAGTCCTAAGTCCCCATAATGGAATATATCCGTAAATTTACTTGAAGACGAAAACATGGGAATTACAGGTTGCGACCCTGTCTCTCCATCCTCTAGTCCCTATTGCAACAAACCAGTCCTGGGTGGCTTGCCAAATCTGTCACCTGGGAGTATCTGAACCCAAACCTATGGTAATTTACAATGATCTTTCTAGAAGATTTCAGTCAAGGGGGAGGTCACAGCTCCTCTGGCTGATAAATGAATGGTACAAAAAAGAGTGCTTTCACCCAAAGCTCCTTCTTCATTGAGTCTTAAGCATACAAGCATATGCAATAGGATAGAGCACCCCAGATATAGTTACCCAAAGTCTGACATGGTTTTGAGTGGCAACAGCAGGTTTCAGGTGACCAGCCTTCTTCCTAGCTGCTAGGGAGTAAGATGTCAGCTCCTTGCTTGTAGAAAAGCTTCTTCGAAGTGCTCCACGTTGCATACTCTTACTTATCTTTCAATAGACTATTCAAATAAACCACATAACTTTTAGTAACCCCTAGTGGGCTGACTATTCTCCTAGCATTAGCAAAAACAACTCATAATTTTATTTATTAGCAAAGCAACTTTTAGTCATAGCAACAGCAATGAACTCACAATCAGAAGCACCCAGCTTCAAGATCAGCTCTCCGCACTCCTTCCCATTCTCATGAATCTATTACTTTCTCTATTCTTATTAGCAGAGTTGCAGCTGTGCAGCTGTTTTGCCTGCTTATGCAAATACAAATGATTCCTGACTGAGATGTTCCCGCTTTTAGTCAATAGTGGCTGTATCCCAAAATGTCTCCAGTTATGTCAAGTCCAGTTCTCTCATAACAGGGTGACCTGGCCTCAATTTTTTTGCTCTGCACAGGACTCCCTTTTGTGGCACTGGGCAGGTGACCTGGTCTTTCTGTACCTCAATTCCGCATCTGTAAGGGACAGGGAATTTCTGAGGATAAATACACTAAAGAGTGTGAGGCACTCAGATATTCAGAAAAGGGGATGGGTACAAAGGTATAGAGGGCTATAAATGCAAAAGGAGGGATTGCTGGAGGGGGATTGTAATGGCGTGTCATCTAGTCCAACCCCCTGCTCAAAGCAGGACCATGTAAGTGTGAGAATGGTCCTGCTATTGTGAGGAACTTTCCTGGCTTCTGCATTACCCCAGTGGACTAGGATACCAAAAGGATGTGAGTCCTCACTCCACCTTGTTTTACCTGGAGGCCTGCTTGACCTCAAGGATTCCCCTTCCACTCTCCTGTGAGGCAGAGTCCTCGTAACCCTGACAAGGCTGGGCCCATGATTCCTGGAAAGCTTAACCTCCAGTCTTCTCATGGTCACTTAGAATGGGGCTAGGGTGTCCCCACTCCAGGGTGCTTTCTCCACACCAGGCATTTCCCTGACCCACTGATCACTACATTAAGCTCAAAGCAAATTTATGAAACCGCAATTGTAAGAGGAATAAGGGGAAATGGAAAAGGTTAAAGGACCAAAGAATCTGCCCTAGGGGCACAGGGAACACAATAGAAAAGTTCATAGTCTCTTCGCAGCTGTGCGGGAGGGGGTCACTGTACGGGGAGCTGCTCCCCAGTCTGTCCAACCCCCAGGCACCTGGAGTCTGCCTGCTCTCAGATATCTCTGCCCAGCCCCACCCTCCTGCATCCAGACCTCTACCCCCTGCACGCAGAACACCTCCCACTTAGTTCCCCCATATTCAGACTCCCACCCCAGTGAGCCCCAACCAGCTGAACCCAGACCCCCGCTAAGCCCCACCCTCCCCCACACCCAGACAACCCCTGCTGAGCTACAACCACCTTCACCTGGAACCCCTCAACAAGCCCCTGCACATCCAGATCTCCCCACCACACCCAGACCCCCTGACTGAGCCACCCACACCCAGCTTGCCCCACACAGAACCCTCTCATCCCACATTAAGTGCTGCCCCCCCCACCCCCCCGCCACACACACTCTCTCTCTCTCTCTCTCTCTCTCTGCTGACCTGAGTCTGCTTGCTCCACACCTGGAGCAGGGTCTGTGGCTGGGCATGTGTGTAAGACTCTGTCCCTCTTGCTTGCTATCTTGTTGTGCCTGGCGTGGAGGGGCAGGCCCAGTCCTTGCATTGTGTCAAGATTGGATGCAGCCTCACCCCTGAGTCCATGTCCCGGGAGGGGCGGGGGACTGCAGGGTGAGCGCCCACCTCCGTGCAGCCAGTGTCCTGTGCTCCCCACTGCCATACTGTGGGGATTTATTTATTGATAGACAAATACAATATGCAGAATTTTGCAGAATTTTAAAATAGTGTGTGAGAATTTGTATTCTTTTGGCACAGAATTCCCTCGAGTATTTTTACAAGGGGGCACTGGAAGAGCTTGTCTTGTTTAGCCCAATAAACTGCAAGCGGGGTGGGGGGGGTGGGGGGGAGATCTGATTGCTTTCTATATATACACTAGGGTGGCAAACACCAGGGAGGGAGAAGACCTACGGAAGCTAAAGGTCACATTGAGTCAAGAAGAAATGGGGCTAAACTGGCCATGACTAAATGTAAATTGGAAATTAAAAGGTTTCTCACCATCAGAGGAGTGAGGTTTTGGAACAGCCTCGCAATAGGAGCAGCAGGGACACGAAACTGAGCTGGTTTTAAGATGGGAGTTTGGATTATATGACAGGGTTGCCAGCAAGAGCTGGGGACTGGCCCTCATGACCCACAAGCTCTGTTCTAGTCCGTTGTTTGTTCCTCCACTGAGCCTGGGATAAGGCTCCTGTTGGCAGACTAGCACCAACCTGAACATACAGCAGAGACAAGCACAGAGGGGCGATTCTGCAAACTGGGCTGGAGCTATCAGAGATGGCACGTTTGCCATCAGACATAGCACCCTCAGTGTGTTAACAGGAAAGGGCACCAGTCAATGGAGACCCAGGACCAGGGTGTGTGGATACTGTCACGGAAAGGGAATTATAGGGCGGGGAAATAAGCATGGGGGTGGTTGATGGTGGCTCTCCATTGGATGGGATTTTAATCCAATTCAGCCAATCCAGTTTAAATGCAACCTCTTTAGTTAATTTTGATTAATTTTCCTGAGCGTAGACAAAGCCTTCGGAACTTTGGACAATCCCACTCACATGGATGACAGCAGCGCCACTGTATTGCTCATGGCTGGGGAGGAGGGGGGGACTCTTGCCCTACTTCATGTGGCCCTAGCTATGCAATGAGTTCTGGATGTCTGCCAGGCAGAGAGAAGGGTTTTAGCTGCTCCTGAACAGAGGCAGGGAGGTAGCTGGGCGCTCCATGGGGAAGCCAAGAGATACCACACTCAGGTCATGCTGCTGCCTGCCATAGCCCTAGCCATTCTCTCTAGGCAGCGGATGCATAGGGATCACAAACATTTTGTTCACACCGGTGCTAGCTGCATACAGGAAGCACCTGGGCTACAGCACCTTTGTCCTTGTGGAAGTAATGTGGTCAGTAATCTGGCCAGTTAGTTGTGTATACAGGGCTGTGGGAAGTAAAACCTGTGGATGAGACAGTGATGTCATATCTGAGGACTCAAGGACCATATGGGTCCAGCTACTTAGTCTCAATGTCTCCCTACCAGTTCGGAGGGGACAGGACCAAGCAGCTTCTGAGAAGAAAATCAAGACTGGGATCAGAAGTAAAGGAGAGTAAAGGGGTCACCTCTACTTGAATAGTAACTGAGTTCATTCATGGGTTTTTATTAACCAAGTGCAGAGTGGCGTTGTGGTGACTGGGGGTTTGTGGCTGTGGCCTTCAAAAAGTACCAACCATACTTATCAGTGAGTCCCCCACTCCTTGGGACAGCTACCTGGGGTGTAGGAACTCTGAGGCCATACAAGTTCTCATCATCCCTTCCTGACCCATCATTCAGGAAGCTGTTGGGTTTGGATACAGCATAAAACTTTCTCACTAAATCTTTTTCTTTTTTAAACTACCAATGTTGCTGTTTGCATGTAACCACTTCTTCTTAAAGCACAAACCGCTCTGGCCTGAGCTAAAAGACTTCCCTGTTAATCAAGGCTGGAGCAGGTTCATCAGCTGCTGTGTGGGCCAGTTACCAGTAGAGGGGGCCAGTGTGCTGCACTGAGCAGATGGGGGTCACACTTATTTGAAAACCTAAACATCAGTGGGGTGTGTGTGTGTGTCTGTCAGTGGAGATGGGGTATCTCTTTCTCAAAGCTCCACTCCAGTTCAGCCAGGAGTTTTGGGGCTGGAGGCAGAAATCAGTGTGGGAGATTCTCTGGCCTCAACATGTTTTTTACACCCAGGACACAAGAACTGTGGCCAAAGCATGCTGGGTTGAGGGGATCCAGCTGAGGAATGAATGGCCAGAGGGGACTAAGTGAATGCAGAGTGTGAATGTCTCCAAGACATGCTGCCAAACCTTCCTCTGTGAAAAGGCCTTTACACCATAAGAATGATAATTGCAACCCTGACCCTGTCTATTCAATAAGACCCAGATCTGACCCTTCTATCCCCAAATCCCAACACTAACCCCCTTTCTACCTAATAAATCCCAGAACCTTGTGACATCTACTGCTGGCCTTTTTGCAACATTAAAAATAGACCATTTTCCCTCCCTTTTGTTGCTGCTCCAGGACGGTATTTTGCCATTCATCCTTCAGAGCCTCTCATGAAGTCTCACGGGCCAAAGCCTTGTTAAAAGTTCAAGAAATGACATCCATGACTTCTCCTTTAGTCACTATTTTATTGACACACTCAAAGAATTCTAATAGGTTAGTGAGGCATGGTTTCCCTTTGGGGAGGCCGTGCTGGTTAGACACTAGCATATATCACTATCTTCTAGATGTTTGGTAACTCTATTTTTGTTTATTGTTTCAACCGGATTTAACAGATACGGAGAGGTAGGGCTCACTGGTCTGTCATTCCCGAGATCGCCCCTAACAGCTTTGGTAAAAATCACTTGCAAAAGACATACATAAAAGAGAATCTTTCCGCCCTACACTCTGCATTGATGTAGGGATTTCTAGTTGAGGAACTCAAAAGCTCTTTACTCATAGATGAATCCTCACTAGCCCAGATGGACAGGGAGAGGGGAAGTCAGTGGAAGGGCTGCTGAGAGAACCCAGGAGTCCGGGCTGCCCGGCTCCTGGCCTAATCACAAAGATGCTGCCTAGATTATCGTGTTAGAAAATAAAAGCTTTTCCCAGAAAGCGGTTCATGCTTACAGTGAGGTTGTCTGCATATCTGTCTCAGAGCAGAAGGAATGAATATCATTCCCTGCCTGTGTCTGCTCTACAATATTTTGTGTAGCCTACGTGCTCTCATTATAACTGCATATTAGTGACAGGAGCGCTTTCAAAACTGGGACTGCCAGACTGTATCGAACCAGGGATTCATCTAGCCCAGTGTCTTATCTCTGACACTGGACTGGCACCAGATGCTGCAGAAGAAAGTGAGAGGAACCCATGTTTGGGATCATCTACCCACATGAATGTCTCATCCTAAATCATAATAGCTAGAGATCACCTTAAACCCTGGAACTTGAGGTTTTATATTCTTTCCAAACCTGCTTCTTTATCATTTACTATCATACAGGTCTTGTTATCCACATAAACAACCAGTCCCTCTTTGAATCTGGCTAAGATCTCAGCTACAGCAGCAACCTGTGGCAGGGAGTTCCACAATCCAACAACATACAGTGTGGAAGAGTCCTGAGGAATTGGTGGAGGGCTGGAACCTAGTTTTGCAAAAGGACGAAGATGGACATGCAGGTGGCAAAAAAAGGTGAGGGACTAGCTCGAAAAGGAGGCTAGGCACAAAGATCAGGTTTCCAAAAAAAATCCTCTAAGCTTAAAGGTCTCTAGTTTCCCTCTATAGCTCTTTGAATACAGGAAGAGGCTCTCAGTCTTTGGCAGCCTGGTGATTAGGGCTTTGCTGTCTTCCTGAGCCAATTGTGGGTTTGAAGCTTGTGGAAACTGTCCATTTCTTCCCACAATTACTTTCCTGTCTCTTAGCTCCTTTCCGATTCACAGTAGCACCTCACCTTTCACCTTGTGGTTAACAAAATTACTTAGCAGTCGTCTTAGTTGTATTAGACCCCAAAGCACAATCTCTCATTTCCGCATCCTTCTTAATAACAAAACTCCAAAGGAGTCAGCAAAATGAGAAGTTTAGTTTCAGTGTCATCAAAGATTTGCTAATGACGAGAGTTGTACAATGGTCACCTAACAGAGAAAGTGAAATCTCAGCCACTAGGGATATGCAGAACAAGACTGGGCCAATACACTGTTTGATCAGTTCTGCATTGGACAGGGAGGCAATGGACAGCAGTACATGTAAGTGACGTAAACCAGAGACTGTGGTTGACTGTGTCTGTGCAGCACTGGATGTGACAGGGCCCTGATCTCAGTCACTGTGGGTCTGTGCAGCGCCCGGCATGACGGGGCCTGATCTTGGTTTGCCTCCATGTGCCATGGCAGCATCCTGCTTCCCTGATGGAAAGGAACAACCAGGGCCATCCTGATGCAAGATAGCCTGGGATCTCCAGCATGTCCATGGGATGTCCTGGTGGTCTCTTTATAGGGTCCCCTTGCTCGGAGGGGAGAGGGGGGAAGCAGGGAGGGGTCCCAGTGTTGCCCTGGCTCCTGGGGATCCCCATATGGGGTCCATAATAGGAGATGGAGCTTGGTGATCCCCATATGGGGGGATCCGAGAGTCCCAATACAGGGCCCCAGGCTCAGGTAGGTCCCAGCACAGCTCCCCTAGCTGAGATGTGTCCTCTGGTGTTTGCTGAAGGCTGAGCTCCAGCAAAAGCTCTTGCCACACTGGCCGCACTGGTAGGGGCGCTCGCCGGTATGGGTGTTCTGGTGCTCCAGCAGGTTGGCGCTCTGGCGGAAGCTCTTGCCGCACTGGGGGCAGCGGTAGGGGCGCTCACCAGTGTGGGTGCGCCGGTGCTTGATGAGGTGCGAGTTCTGGCAGAAACTTTTACCGCACTGGGGGCAGGTGTAGGGGCGCTCGCCAGTGTGGGTGCGCTGGTGCTGGATCAAGTTGGAGCTCTGCCGGAAGCCTTTGCCGCACTCGGTGCAGCGGTAGGGCCGCTCCCCAGTGTGGGTGATCTGGTGCTTGGCCAGATAGGAGCCCAGGGCAAAGCTCTTGCCACAGATGCCGCAGCGGTGGAGTTTCTGGCCGGCGTGCGTGCGCCGGTGCTCCGCCAGATTGGAGCTCTGGCTGAAGATCTTGCCGCACTCAGGACACTTGTAGGGTTTTTCACCTGTGTGAGTCACCTGGTGCCGCAGAAGCTTGGAGCTCTGGCCGAAACTCTTGCCGCACTCGGGGCACTTGTAGGGCTTCTCAGCCATGCGGCAGCTGCGGCGGTGCTCAGCCAGCCGGCAGCTCCACAGGAAGCTCAGGCCGCACTGTGGGCAGCGGAAGGGTTGCTCTCGCTGGTGATGTCGCAGGCCAGCACTCTGGGCATAGCCCTTGCCGCACTCAGAGCACTTGAAAGGTTTCTCCTCCCCGTCGGCGCTGTGCCGGGTGCGACGGTGCCGGGCCAGCTTGGCGCTCTCCAGGAAGCACTCCCCGCAGTCGGAGCAGGTGAAGGCCTCGTCGCCGGCATGGGTGCGCTGGTGCACGAGCAGCGTAGCGCTTTGGTGGAAAGCCTCCCCGCACTCGGAGCATCGGTAGGGCTTCTCGGCACCATGCTGGCTGGCTCGATGGGCAGCCAAGGCGGCGCTCCAGCCAAAGCCCTCCCCGCACTCCCCACAACGGTAGGGGCCTTGGCCGCCGGTGTGGGTACGCTGATGCTTGGCCAGGTCCGAGCTGACCACGAAGCTGCGTCCACACTCCAGGCAGTGGTACGGCTTCTCTCCGGTGTGGGTTCGGCGGTGGGTCACCAGCGTGGACTTCCGGCCGAAGCTGCGCCCGCACTCGTCGCAGCGGTAGGGACGCTCCCCGGTGTGGGTGCGCTGGTGGTGCACCAGTGTGGAGCTCTGGCTGAAGCGGGCGCCACACTGGTGGCAGCGGAAAGGCTTCTCGCCGGTGTGGATGCGCTGGTGCTCCAGCAGGGTGGAGCCACGACTGAACTTCTTCCCGCACTCCGGACAGCTGTGGGGCTTTTCGCCAGCATGAGATTTCTGGTGCTCCAGCAGCGATGAGCTCCACGTGAAGGCCTTGCCACACTGGTGGCAGCGGTAGGGCCGCTCCCCGGTATGGACCCGCTGGTGTTTGATCAGGTTGGAGCTCTGGGCAAACCCTTTGCCACACTCAGAGCACCGGAACGGCTTATCCTCCGCATCGCAGGCCTGCTCACCCGCACCTGCATCACGCCATCTACCCTGTGGCCTCTCAGAGCTCCCGCAGGAGTCGTCCCCTTCGGAGCGGGCTGAGAATGGCCCTTCTGGCTCCCCATCATCCTCGTCCTGCTCCTGCACATCATCCGCCTCCTCGTCCTCACTCAGGGCGCCGTCATCTGGTGAAAGGAAAAGAGAAAGGGAACCCAGACACATGTCAGTCATGCCAAGGGGAGGAAGTATCTAATGGGGAGGGAGGGCCCTGCACTGAGTCATAGGTGTCAAGGCCACAACAGCCCACTGTGCCCATTGAGCCCGGCCTCCTGCCTAAACCAGCCCAGAGCATCTCCCCCAACCATTCCTGCCTCCAGCCCAGTAACTCCTGGCTGAGCTAGAGCAGTGCTTGGAGGAAGACACCTCTAGGGTTGGTCGGGAACGCCAGAATGATTTTTCTGACGGAAAATAACTGTTTCTGCAAAATTTAAAATTTGCTACGGGAAAACTTCAATTTTCTGTTACAAAAATTGAAATGAAAGCTCCAGCTCAGCAGCTCTTTGACACTCACAAGATAAAGGCGCAGACCCAGGGCTCCCAGGGCTTGTAGGCTCCCTGGAGGAGCTGGCAGCTACTTCAGAACAAACAGTAAATAATAAAAAGGGGTCATGCAGTGAAAGTGAAAGGCAGCAAATTCTAAACCTTTTTCGTATGGTGTATAAAACAGCCCATGAAACTCATTGCTACCAGATGTAGTGGAGGCTGAAAGCTTAGCAGGACTCAGAGCAGTCCTGGCTGTCTATGTGGATAACAGGAACATTCAGAGCTACTTAATGCTAATGGCTTGAGCCGATCTCTAACGATTAGAAACCACGATGGGATCAAACATGGCAGCAGATTAGCCCCAATCTGCTACTGCAGGTTCTCCCACCTTCCCCTGCAGCATCTGGTGCAGGCCACTGTCGGTAACAGGAGACTGGACTAGACAGACCTGGGTGCTGATCCGGTCTGGCAACTCCCTACGGTCCTGCTTCCACTGCAGGTTCTCTTCCGGAATTCCTCACCTGTCAGGACAACTCTCAGCTCCTCCCGCTCATCTGAGTCGGCGTCACATAGCTCCTCTCCTCGCTCCATCCATGAGAACTCGGCTGAGTGTGCCATCGGGAAGCTTGTGCATGGGAAAAGAAGACAGGAGACAGCCATGGGTATGGGTGAGACACTGGACCCCAGTTCGAGGCTGGTCCCCGCAGGGGGGAGCTGACAAAGTTAACACATTTTTATTGTGAGCCATAAATCAGTGCCAGCTCAGGCCTTGAAACCACCCTTTCACAGGGCGGCTGCCTCTTTAAAGGGAGATAGGTCTCGGCCCCACCCAACTGTCCCAGGAGGGTGGGGAAGGAGGAATGGAAAATGCCATGTAACCCAATCAGGCCTCTGGGGCAGATAAGGAAGAAGCCTGGGAGAGTCAAGGCAGGAAGGCATGGGAGGGGGATTGGCGGGGCTGCAACCAGGGGAGAAGAGACTCCAGCTCAGTAAGGGGGACTCCAGGCAGAAGGCCTGGGAGCGGCTGGATGAAGAGTCGGGAAGGATGGATATATAAACCTCAAAGTATATCAGCTTCCGACTTGGACTCTCAGGGCTTTATTTTGTAGCCGTTTATGATAACAAACCAGCCCAATACGGGTGTTACTGGTTATGAGAAAGCCTCTGAGAAATTACTGAGGAAAGAGAAACTATGGCTGCAGGGCCAACCCATGTCTCAATGGGGAGCTGTGGAGGCAGAGATCATTACATCCCCCTACAACGCAGCCTGATCCATTATTATTGTAATTTGTGTTATAGTTGCACACATCCCCTGCCCAGAAGAGCTTACAGTCAAAACAGACAAAGGGCAGGACAAGAAACTAGGCACAGAGCGGGAAAGTGACTTGCCTGAGGTCACACAGCAAGCCAGTTTTATAGCTGGGAGTGAACCCAGGTGTCCTATGCCCTAGGTCTAGGGCTCCAGCCCACACTGACTCAGTGGATAAATACAGATGGATGCTCCACCCTGCACTGGGCCTGTTATTTCGAAGCTGGGTCCACCCAGGTGTAAGGGTCAGATCACATGATCAGGGCCCACACCTGTAGTTAGAACCTTTCCTCTGTGACTCAGGCTTTAGCTACACTGGGGCTTAAGCAGCAATTCCAGCCCTGGTGCAAATCTCCCATGTAAACAGGGAAACAAGTTGTTTCCATAAACCACCAAGATTTGCATCAGTTTAACTCTGCTTCTGAGCAGGCTCCATCAGTGCAAATAGAGGGCCACTGTCCACATGGGATGAGGGGCAGATCGTGCACTTAACAGCAAGTGCCTTACAATGAACATTTGATCCCTGAGCTGGGAGGCTGCTTTGGCCTGGCCCTAAAGTTAAAGATGACTGAAGAGATTATTGCTCTTCAAATCCTTGCCCTGAACAAGATAGCACTGACCAGCCTCTTTGCATGGTTCCCAAGCAGCCTGCGGCGCTGGAACAAGGAACAAATTGCAGCCATCAGGACAGGAAAAAATGGGGAAGAACAAATTGTTGGCTGTAAATAAGTTGGCCCACAATTCTGCCAACCCAAAGAGTTCAAAAAAGACGAGTCAGGCCCCCAAAATATCAGAGCATCTTAAAAATGAGATTATTTTTATATAGCTACATTTTTTTAATTCTGCTTTTGGAACCTTTAGGACCCCGCCCCTCCAAACCACAAGGGCTGGAAATATACTCTCCCCCCCCCCCCCCCCAACATAAAAGCTGAGATTTTCCCATAAATACAAGGACCCAGTTGCTGGGGCTTTGAGGGGAAAAAAACAGGTAAATATCCCGACGCTCACAGTAAAAAAAAAAATCACCAGAGCTGACAACACTGGGTGAACGAGTTATTTGATGCTAATAAATTAGCCCAGCTATAGCACATAGGGATTACTGGACTGCCTCAGCACCATGGTCTGTCTAGCCCAGGACTTGATACCGCAGAAGAACGAGCAAGAAACTCCACCGTTTATAGATTCATAAATTTTAAGGCGAGCAGGGCCCATTGTGCCCATCCAGTCCAGCCTCCTGCCTAACCCAGGCCAGAGAATCTCACCCAGTGATTCCTGCCTCTGACCCAATAACTCCTGGCTGAGCGAGAGCACAGCCTTGAGTAACAGACACCCTATCTCCACTGACAGGCTCCCACTAATGGAAAATCCACCCAGTCCCTAGGGGAGCTGTTCCAACCATTAATTCTCCTCCCTGATAAATTATTTCTTATTCTTAGCCTGAATTAGTCTCCCTTCAGCTCCCAGCTATTGCACCTGGCTTTGCCTTTGCCTGGATGTTAAAGAGCCCTCTGCCCTCAGAAATCCCCCCCCATATTGGTGCTTAAAGACAGGGATCATGTCAGCTCTTAACCTTCTCTGAGTAAACCAAATACATTGAGCGCTGTTAGTCTCTTCATGGATGACAGGTTTTGCAGACCATGAATCATCCTTGTAGCTCTTTTCTGAACCGTAACAATTTCTCAGCATCCCTTCTGAAGTGTGGGCACAGTACCCAATAGTGGTCTCAGCAATGCCATAGATATTCCCCTGCTTACATAGCCAAAGATCAAGTTTGCCTTTTCAGTACAGCATTGCACAGGGGTCTCCTATGCCAGATGTTTTCACCTGTCCTTTCTAGAGTCACTGCTTTCCAGGATACAGGTTCCCATCCTGCATGGGTGACCCATATTCTTCATTCCCATGTGTGACCATGCATTTGGCTGGGTTCCAATGCACATTGTTCACATGAGCCCAGCTTACCAAGCAACATGGTCTTTCTGTATCCCCACCACTAACTACCACTCCCACCTATACTTGTGTCACATTTTGTCAGCAGTGATTTTTATATTTTCTTTATGATTCATGTTCCAATTAGATTTTCAGTTAGAGGATACAGGGACAGACGCCTCCACTCCTTGCTAATAATGGAGAGCACAAGCAGATTGCGTAAAGATGCCCATATTATTATTATACTGTGGGTGCCTGTCCAGCACCCACAATTGGAAGCGGGTTTTCCAGGCAGTTAAGTCAGTGGTTTAAATTTCCTAGAGCACTAAGCACGCAGCAGCTCCCACTGAGAACAGTTAAAGTCCCCCTGGCCCTAGCATTTTGCTTGTATGTCACCTGTACTTTACTGTGTGCCTGGTGTGACTAGTTAGACTGTAGGCGCTTCAGGGCAGGGACTCTCACTGCGTGTCTGTGCAGCGCCCAGCACAACTGGATCTCACACTCGGTCACTGTGTCAGCCTGTGACATGCCTGGCGTAACAGGGCCCTGATCCTGGCCACTGCGCGTCTGTGCAGCGCCCAGCAAGACTGGGCCCCCTATGTGGTCACTGTGTGCCTGTGCATGACAGGGCCCAATCTCAGTGGAGATTTAGACTACACTGTAAAACAGATATCTAACAACAAAAAGATTGGCTCTTGCCTCTAAAAGGTATGCAGAGGACTTACAGATTATTCATATTTACTACTGATATCATGATACCACCAAGAGACCATAACTGAGGTCAGGATCCTGTCACTGCTAGCATTGCACAGACTGGGAATCGCTGGCCCAATAAGGGCTCCCTGTGCAACCAGCTAAAACCATTCTCCTCACTTTACTGTTGGAGAAACTCAGGCCCAGGCAGAGTCCATGACTTGTTTGAGGTCACCCACAAAGCATGTGGCAGCAGGAACTGAACCCGAGTCTCCACAGTCCCAGGCCTAGACCTTAACCCCAAGGACACCCTGGCCAAGTAGTAAGACCATCACGTGCTCAGTCCTATAAGGGGCAAACAGGCTTGGGCCATTACCTCTCCTCGCTGGGATCCTCCAGTGGAAAGGGGCCATTGCTCTCAGTATCAACCAGAAAGTCAGGGTACGTCACAGACTCCACCTAAGACAGGAGAGACAAGGGAGTGTGGAGGGATTTACGCTGGCCTGGTGGGACAGGGCGGCCCAGCTGAGATGTCCCACTGAGCCAGCTCCTCAAAGAGAGAAAGGGGTTGCTCCCAGCTCTAAGAGCCTCTGTGCTGGAAAGGCCCCCACACACCATAGGCCCCTGCCCCATAGGGAAAGACACAGGGTCCAGGGTAAATATCACAATCACATGCATATACACATAGACCCTTCCTCCAATATTGAAGGACCACACACACAAGCATTCTGGGATAAGTTACACACACTGGGGGCTGAGGCAAATCTCACACACCTGCACATACACACACACTAGCATCTGCATGGATGTACACACACACACAGGTCCCACGGTAAATCTCTCTCACACACACACAGGTCCCAAGGTAAATTACACACACTGGAATCCTGGGGGTAAACGACCCAGGCATGCGTGCAGACACACTGTGGTTCCAGGAGTAAATCACACAGGTGAGTGCACACATGCGTCCCGGGAGTAAATCACACACACACTCACAAGGGTCCCAGGAGTAAATCACACACACAGGTCCTGGGGGCACAGCACAGACAGACAGACAGACACACACACGGGTCCTGAGGGCAAATCACGCTCTCTCACACGCGGAGGTTTACAGGGACAGATCTCTCTCGCGCACACACACACCCTGGTGTGGGGCAGGCGGGGGGCAGACGGGTCCTGTCCCCGCCGCAGGCCCCGGCCCCGGGCAGCGCGACAGGCTCCAGCAGGCCGCAGGGCCAAGCCAGCCCCCGGCCCCTTTGTCCATCTGCGCCTGCCCCGCGGCCTCCCCGCCGCGCACCCGAGCCCGGGGCGTTCCCCACCCCGCCGCGGAGCCTGGCCCGGGGCGCCCGCGGTGACAGGCCCGGGGTAAGACCCTGGAGAGACGAGAAGAGCGGGGCTGGCCTAGCCTAGCCCCCCACCCAGGCCGATCCCTTAGTGCACCGAGTCCGGGTGCGGGGGTCTCCGCAGCTTCCCCGCTACAGCCCTGCACCCTGATCCCGCTGCACATGCCCCCACCCCCCGCACTCAAATCGGGGCGTCCGAGTCCTCGTGTCTCCCCCTGCACATGGGCCCCTCCCCGGTGCCCTGAATCCAGCCGCTGAGGTCGTGGCATCTCTCTCCCCCCAGCGCCCCGCTCCCCTCCTTCCCTGGGGCCCTGAACCTGGGCGCTGAGTGCGTGGGACTCACCTTCTCCATCTCCCCCCTGTGCCCAGCGCCGGGGCCCACCGCAGCCCGCGAGGGGTTAAAAATCCACAGACAATGCTGGGGCTGGGAGGAAGGAGGTTGTGTGTGGGGTTGGGGGAGGGGGGGGGAGGAAGAGGCGCCTCCTCCCCGCTCATGCCATTGGCAGATCTGCCGTCCCCATCAGGAGCAGGCAGAGCGATTGATTTGCCTGCGTAGCGTGTGTCTGCTCCAACGCCCCCATTACCCAGGCTTCTTCCCGTGGGCCTACCCCCCCGGCATTTCTGGGAGATCAGTGAGCACCCAGCGCCCACGTGAGACGGTGTCCCCTCCCTTTTAATAACTGGGGTACTGGGTGAGGACACCCATTTCCAGCTCTGCCACTGACCTGCTTTGTGACCTTGGACATGTCACTTCCCCTTTTGTGCCTCCATTTCCTCTCCCACTCCTTTGTCTGTCTGATCTGTGAACAGTGTAAACGCCTAAGGGCAGGGATTGTCTCACCCCACGGGGCCTAGAGCCTCTAGGCACTTCCGCAATACAAACAACCGATGCCTTCTGCACAGTCCCTAGGCTCAATCAGGCCAGTGGCTTCTCTACAGCCTTACAGGCTGTTTGTTAGCACTTGCTGTCTGGCTGAATTTAATTGACGCCTGCCAAAACAAATTCAAACCTAGAGTTAATTAGATTGAGCTCCATAATTCTATGTATCATTTGCACCTTTAAAGCGTAGTCTAGCCAAAGCCAACAAACTCACTATGTCCCACCTCCAATCCACTACTCTGAGCTACAGGTGCAGAGTTAGTCTACTCCAAAATATTCTCCTGTCTGGTCATTAACCAAGGTAGTGATCTGTCTCTTTTTTGTTTCTAGATGCATGTGCAATGGTTAACCACTAGCCAGGACCTAGAGATACCTAAGTTCAAATCTCTACTGTATTACAGACTCCCTGCGAGACCTTGTGCAAGTCACTTAGACCAAGTCTATGCTAGAAACTGTTTGCTGATATAGCTGTAATAGCAGACCCTCATACTATAGACCCAATCTTCTGACAAATAAGTGCTTTTGCTGGCATAGCTTATATTGGTTCCATGAATGAAATAAGCTTAATTGACAAAAGCATTTTTATGCCAATATAACTGTGTCTAGACTAGGGCTTTTGCTTGTACAGAAGTAGTGTTGTTTTTTAAATTGCATCCTTAACTGGTGTTACTATGCCAGCAAAAGTTTCTACTATATACTTGCCCTCAGTTTCTCTGTGCCTCAATTCTCCATCTGTAAAAATAGGAATATCTCCTTACCTCAAAAGAGTTTTGTGAAGATAAACACATTAAAGATTTACTTAGTTACTATGGTGAAGATACCTATAAAGTATCTGAGATCGACAGACATGAAAACTACATTCTTAAGATTGCAAAGTCAGATACACAAACATTAGGAAATGCCAGAGTTAAGGTTACCTGAACTTTAACTCTGCCCCTTTGTGCACATGCATTAAAGTGCAATCTCTCCAAGGTGCTCCCAGCATTTATACTTCTTGTGACATGGACTGCCACTTACATCTGTCTGTACAGCACCTAGTGCGAATGCAACAAATAGATAATAATTGTAATGGGGCCCAATGTGATTGAGGCCTTTAGGAATTACCACAATATCAATGTTAAATAAACCAACAAACAGCAATAGTTGAATTTTTTCAAGCAAAAAAAATTTTTGTGAGAAACTGCCTTTTGAAATACAAATATTCTGTGAAAAGTTGACAGTCAAAAATGTTCTTTTGGTGCAAAAATACTCTTTCCTTTTAATTTTTATTTTAAAAATTATTTCAACATTTTTATCAAAACACTGATTTTGTTTTCCAAAAACTAGGCATTTGGTAAACAAAAAATTTCAGTACTATTTTTGATTTAAAAAAATTGTAAAGAATTCATAATAAATTGCAAAAAATACAAATTAAAATTAGATCAGTTTTAAATACTTTGAAATAAAAAATTGACATCTTTCCTTAAAATGGATTTTTTATCAGTCCTAGTTGTTAATCAACATTAATATTCATTCTATTAATAACATATTAATTGCATCATATACTTTTTCCCCAATTGGGGCAGAGTCAAGGTTGCACAGACAACTTTAATTCTGATATTTCTTAATTTTTGAATGCTTGACTTTGTAACTTTAAGAAAATCCATTTAATACAGTTTTGCAGTTTCGCTGGGGGATATAGTTTCCTAGATTTTTTTTAGAACAATGACACAAAACTACCCAGAAATTCCAACATGTGGAGTTGTAATGACCCCAACATCTCCAGTGGAATTTGAATCCAGGCTTTGAAATAAATATCTAAGTGTCAGCTGAATGTTATTTACTTTGATGTGTGTGGTCCTAATAGTGATCTGCTGGTTTCTTTTCCTTGTCTAAGATAAACAGGACTCCTGGGTTCTATTTGTGGCTCAAGGAGGGGAGTGGAATCTAGTGGGTGAGAGCAGAGGGGTAGGGTGCAAGTCAGGATGCCTGAGCTCCCAGCTCCCCTCTCTGTGCCTCAGTTTCCCCTTCTATAGAACAGGGACAATGATACTCCTTGTAAAGTGCTCTGAGGCCCACAGATGGGAACTGCTGCCTGCAGATTATTACATTTGTGTTTACCACAAATCTCAGTAACTGCTGGATATGCTGAGTAAGGAAAACAAGGCAGCTTTGAGTCCATCACTTTATGAATCCTATTGAGCAGGTGCTCCAGCATAGTGCATATGGGGAAGGATACCTCCAGGGTTTGTACTAACCTTGCTTTCCCTGCAGACGAGGTGAAGATGCAGCTGTAGAAAGCTCAGCCTTCATCCTCGGAGTCTGTCTTGGGGTTTGTTAATGTCCTTGCTGTTACTGATTGTCCCAGTTGTTATGCAGACAGATCGGGTGTGTTGGGGCCAGTGACCAAAACATCAGACAGGTGGGATTTCCAAGGAGGGGCATCTTTGTGTATTCCCAATGATTAACATTTATTTTTTTCCCAATGTATTAACATTGTTTTCCTTGTCCCTCTCTGACAGCTGGGACTCTACGCACCACACCAGCTTTTTCCAAACCAACCCGCTGACAAATATCACGCAAAGTGAAAGGCCAGGCACTGAGCGGATAAGGAGACCTGAGTTCTGTTCTTGGCTCTACCACTGAACTGCTATATAACCTTGGGCAAGTCCCCTCTGTGGTCAACTATTTGTTTATTCAGACAGTGAGCGCTTTTGAGCAGGGACTGTATCTCACTTTGTGTCTATGCAGCAAGGGGGCCCACATCTCAGTCACCGTGGGTCAATGCAGCACCAGGAAAAATGAAGCCTTAATCTCTGTCATGGTGCGTCTTGGCAGCAACAGAGCCAACATATCATTTGTTGTGTGCTTTGCAGCCCCTGGTTGTCGTGTGCCTGTGCCCAGCATGGCCAGGCCCTGATCTCTGTCACCACGCAAAGCGCTCAGATACTACAGCGATGGGTGCCATATGTCCCTCAGATAGATGTGTCTGTGCAGGACCTCACATGACAAGGCCCCAGTCTCCATGGGACCTTTCAAAAACTACTGTACTATAAATAATAGCAATCATAAATTAAGTCTGCCACCAGTCAACCTCCCGCAACCTACTCAGCTGTAGAAGCCTGAAAACAAAAGCTTTGAAAATCCCATAACAATCCTGTTGGTGCACTGGGCTGGAGTCTCAACCAGCCAGGATCGTATCCAAGCTCGTAGTCCGCTTAATCTATCTGGCAGAATGACCAGAATGAGATTCAGGGCAGGTGAATGCCTGGAGTGTGTTAAGGGGTGGATGGACAGGCAGAGGGGTGAGATGTATGGGGAGAGACAGTTAGATAGGTGCATGTGGTGATAAAAAGATAGAGGGGCAGTACGGGGATGAACAGGTAGAAGAGTAGGGCTAAGGAAAGACAGACAGTGTAGTGTTTATGGGGATGGGTGGATGAATAGATGGAGGGACTTGTTATGTTGTTATGGAATGGATGGATGGACAGACAAAGGGATGGTGTGTATAGGGAGTGATCAATGGGGAGAGAGAGAGAGAGAGAGGGAGAACATATGATTAGATAAAGCATGTCTGGGGTTCGATAGAAGAACAATGCTAAGGTGTGACAGACAGAGTAGTGTTTTTGGAGATAGGTAACCTGTTTCCTTCTCTATCCAGGAGAACAACGCAGTAGTCCCATCATCTCTGCATTGCAGTACTGTTGTTAAGTTGTGGCACTGGGGCCATTCCCATCTCACATGTACTGGGAACCCCCAGCTGCATCACAACCCCTTGTTACAGCAGACTCTGCCTCTTGTCCCCAACTAAGCTGGCGCTGTGCGCTTTCTGCAAGCCTCTGGCCTCTCCTTCTTGCTGCACCGCTGGTGAGAAATGAGTAGCCCCCTGCTGCGGAAGGCCTCCCCGCATCCCGCACACCGGTAGACCCTCTCGGCCGCATGGAGCCTCTGGTGCCTTGTCAGATTGGAGTTGCGTCCAAAGCTCTTGCCACACTGGTGGCAGCGGTGGGGTTTCTCGCCAGTGTGGATCTGCTGGTGTCTTGTTAGGGTGGAGCTCTGGCTAAAGCTCTTTCCGCACTCACTGCACGTGAAGGGGCGTTCACCACGGTGAATCACCTGGTGGATCAGGAGGTGGGAGTTCCGGACAAAGCTTTTCCCACACTCAGTGCAGTGGTGGGGCCGGTCCCCCCGGTGGATCCGCTTGTGTCTCAGCAGGTCAGAGCTGCGGCAAAAGGTTTTCCCACACTCAGGACATTTGAAAGGCCTGGGCTGGGGTTCGGGCTTCCCCAAATCTGGTAGGGGAGGGGCTGGTTCCACCTGCCTTTTCCCAGTGGGGCTCCCATGTTGCCTCCCCACCCTGCGCTGAGTCCGTGACACCTTCCCTTTGTATCTTCCCAGGGACACCCTGCGTGGCCCTGCCATCTCTGTCTCCTCCTGCTGGGGACTTGCGCTCAGCACCACATCACCTGATGGAATGAGAGGAGAGAGAATCCAGAGGTAAGTGGGGGGCGGGGGGGAAGATGTGTTGCCAGCTTTCATGATATTTGCTCTCAAAGCGCCCAGTTCCTGGAGTCATGTGATTATTGGAAAATCATCATTTTTTTTAAGTGAGTCAATTCCTAGCCTTACTGTTTGAGGAGCAAACCTGGAAAATTTTAACCCCTAATGGCTCAAAATCCAGAAGGTGAATAAACAGAACCCAGAATGTACTAGTATTTTTTAAAAATCATGTTTTTTAAGCATTTTGGGGTTTGTGATATTTGTAAAGGAGACTGCAACTGTTACAGATCTGAAATCTAGAGCCAAACTCACTCCCTCCTCCCCATCTCACACATACTGAACCCTTTTCAAAGAGAAGGGAGCAATTTAGCCTTTCCAAAACTCAGTGGGGGTTGAGTGACTGACTCCTTCAGGGTCCATCATTAGTCAGTATTTTCATAAATGACTTGGATAATAGAGGAGAGAGTATGCTCATAAAATCTGCAGATGACACCAAGCTGGGAGGGGTTGTAAGCACTTTGGTGAACAGGCTTAGAATTCAAAATGACCGTAACAAATTGGAGAATTGGTCTGAATTCAACAAGATGAAATTCAATAAAAATAAGTACAAAGTACTTCACTAAGGAAAGAAAGATCTACACACAACTACAAAATGGAGAATAACTAGCTAGGTAGGAGCACTGCTGAAATGGATCTGGGGTTATAGGGGATCACAAATTGAATATAAGTCAACAATGCGATGCAGTGGCAAAAAAACACACTAGTATCATTCTGGGGTGCATTAACAGGAGTGTTATATGTAAGACACGGAAGGTAATTGTCCTGCCCTACTCAGCACTGGGGAGGCCTCAGCTGGATCCTGTGCCCAATTCTGGGCTCCACATTTTAGGAATGATGTGGACAAAATGAAAAAAGAGTCCAAAGAAGAGCAACAAACACGATAAAGGAGTTAGAAAACCTGACCTATGAGGAAAGGTTAAAAAACTGGTCATGTTTAGTTTTGAAAAAGCAGAGGGGAACCTGATAACAGTCTTCAAATATGATAAGGGCTGTTATAAAGAGAACTGTGATCAATTCAGTGGACATGGAGAACAAGTAATGGGCTTAATCTGCATGAAGGAAGATTTAGGTTAGCTATTCGGAAACTTTCTAACTATGAAGGTAGTTACATTCTGGAATAAGTTTCTGAGGGAGGTTGTGGAATCCCCGTCATTGGAGGTTTAAAAGAACAAGTCGGACAAACACCTGTCAGGGATAGTCTAGGTTTATTTGGTTCTGCCTCAGTACAAGGGACTGGACTTGATGATTCTCAAGGTCCCTTCCATCCCTACATTTCTATGATTCTATGAGTTTAAGGGTTTGCTCTGAGAATTAAAAAGGAATTTATTTGTAGATTTTAAGGCCACTATGTGAATACCTTCACCTACAGGTCAAAACCCAGAAGTGTTATCATTATAATAGGACAGTGCCATCCTAATGTATCTGAAGAAGCAAGGAGGTATTACCCATTCCTGACACTCAGAGCATGTGAATCTCCCATATAACTTATATCCCAGACATTGCAAGGTATTTACTTGTCAGATATGGTAAACATTCATGTGTCCCTTCATGCTTTGGCCACCATTCCACAGGACATGCTTCCATGTTGGTGACGCTCGTTAAAAAAATAATGCATTAATTAGATTTCTGACTGAACTCCTTGTGGAAAATTGTATGTCTTCTGCTCTGTGTTTTACCTGCATTCTGCCATATATTTCATGTTATAGCAGTCTCAAATGATGACCCAGCATGTTGTTTGTTTTAAGAACACTGACTGCAGATTTGACGAAACGCAAAGAAGGTACCAATGTGAGATTTCTAAAGATAGCTACAGCACTTGACCCAAGGTTTAAGAATCTGAAGAGCCTTCTAAAATATGAGAGGGACGGGGTTTGGAGCATGCTTTCAGAAGTCTTAAAAGAGCAACACTCCGATGCGGAAACTACAGAACCCAAACCACCAAAAAAGAAAATCAACCTTCTGCTGGTGGCATCTGACTCAGATGATGAAAATGAACATGTGTTGGTGTGCACTGCTTTGGATCGTTATCAGGAAGAACCCATCATCAGCATGGATGCATGTCCTCTGGAATGGTGGTTGAAACATGAAGGGACATATGAATCTTTAGCGCAAATGGCACATAAATATCTTGCAACCCTGGCTACAATAGTGCCATGTGAATGTCTGTTCTCACTTGCAGGTGACACTGTAAATAAGAAGCGGGCAGCATTATTTCCCGTAAATATAAACAAACTTGTCTAAATGATTTGCTGAACAAGAAGCAGGACTGAATGAACGTTCAGGCTCTAAAGTTTTACATTGTTTTGTTTTTGACTGCAGTTATATAACAAAAAAAATTCTACATTTGTAAGTTGCGCTTTCACGATAAAGAGATTGCGCTATGGTACTTGTATGAGGTGAACTGAAAAATACTAATTTTTTTGTTTATCATTTTTACAGTGAAAATCTCTGTAATAAAAATAATGTAAAGTGAGCACTGTACACTTTGTAGTAACTGAAATCAATATATTTGAAAATATAGAAAAACATCCAAAATATTTAATACATTTCAATTGGTATTCTATTGTTTAACAGTGTGATTAAAACCGCATTTAATCGTGATTAATTTTTTGAGTTAATTGCGTGAGTCAACTGCGATTAATCAACAGCCCTACTTTGTATATTTTGACATGTGGATAATTTGTATTTTAACTGTTATAAGCTTTAACTTTTTGAATCTTTGTGTCTATTGTCATTTAATAATTATTGCCTCCTGCCCAAGTTGTCTGATTCCCTCATAATTTCCTGTAACTTTGAAAATTTAAATCAATAAAAACAAAAAATGCTTAAAAACAAACTGATATTATCTGTCTACATTATAAAAAAAAATGAAAATCAAATTCTGCCAAGCTTAATTATAATACAGTCTTTAATTACATGATCACATACACTTTTTTCCACAGGACCCCTGTCTCCTTTAGTGCATAGGATGGTCTGTGTCATGGGGATGAGTCAGGGTTTTGTAACAAAGGCGGCTGTACGACAGTTGGCTCATTTGTCGCTGAAGTCGGAAGGTGTACAGAGAATGAGGCAAGGGATTGAAGGAAGAGGTCTCTTGGTTGAGGCAGTTAAATGCCGCCCTAGAGAAATAGATTCTGTTCTTGCCTCTGCCATAGAGTTCCTATGTGATGCTAGGCAAGTCACTAAACCAAATTTTCACAGGTGGCCATTGTGTGTTTCTCATTTTCTGGGTCCCCAACCTGAGTCACCAGGGGTCAGAGCTGCAGATGTGCTGAGCACTCCGCTGTAACTTAGATCAATAGCTGTGCTTTGATAATATCCAGTGCTATAAAAATGCTAAGTAATCTGGGCCTGGCAATCTCAAATTTGAAACCCAAATTTGGTAGAGACTTTTTGATAACTTTGACCTTCATTCCATAGATCTAAAGTGGGGATAATACTATTTCACCTCACAGGGGTTTATGAAGAGAAATGCATTAATGTTTGTAAAAAACTAAGATATATGATGAAAGCAGCATAAAAAAGTCCATGAGGAAATTAATAATTCTGTATTCAATGCAGGGTTTGGATGGTGTGCAGTGAATAATGTCTGAAGCCCCACTCTGAAGGTGAAGGATAAAAAGAAATATTAACCTACCCATCATCCTGTGTTCACCATCCATTATGTGCTCTGAATGAGGCAGGGGGTCTGTGGAAAAAAACAGTATGCAACAATGTAATTAAAGAGCGTATCATCATGCGTATGCATGAGGACAAATTATAGGTTAATTGATTTTAAGTCTTGGAGTGACTGTTATGATTATCTGGTCTGTCCTCTTGCGTAACCCAAGCCAGAGAATTTCACCCTGTGATTCCTATATTGAATCTCTGTGCATGTGAATCTCTAGTCAGCATGTTGGGGGCTTAGTTTCTTACATCAGATGCTGTGGATGCCTCCCTTGTAATCTGGGAGCTTGGTTTGAGCAACTGCTGCTCACTTGGGTTTTAACTTTTCCTCTCTAATTTTTGAATAGTGATATAAATCCCGTAGACGTTAATGTTTTTTCCTCATAATGAAATATTGATCCTAAAATCCCCTCAAATTCCTCTCATTGTCTAATTATTAAATATTGATAGAAAAATCTCAAAATTCACATTTTCCCTCTCCAATTACTGAAGGAGATGAAATCCCCTCTGTTCGTGAGGGAAACTGTTGCTCTGGTTTAATTATCCCAAAGTGGGGGCAGAGGGGCTTAAACTCCCTAAGGATCAACTTTTTCTCTTATCTTCGAGGGAGGGTCACAGGAAGAGAAAGGGAAAGCAGGTGTCCCTGAGGAGGGATTGGCTACCCAAGGAGTTATTCCAGAATACTTTCTGTGGAATACTCTTATTCCAGAAAAAGAGTACCTTGACCCGCTATAGTCCAATCCACCTTTGAAAATGGCTTAAGCTAAACAGGAACAAGGAGGCACTCTTCTCTGGCGTAACAGTGTCCACAGAAAGAGTTATTCTGGAATAGATTTTCAAGTCACTCCCTGTCTTAATCCCAATTAACTTTCAAGTATAAAGAAGCCCTGATGAGTCTGCCCAGCCCCAATTTAATCCATCCTAGCTGCTCCTCAGACCCCAACGACCCAACCTAGCTCCCCACCTCCACCTGCCATTCACTCACCCATCCCCCTCTGATATCCCCTCCCAACTGCCAGAGAATTCTCCAGAACTTTTAAGGTCCCTTCTAGCCCTACATTTCTATGATTGTACAATGCACTCCCCCCACCCCCGAAATACACCTCTCTCAAAGCACAGGACTCCTTATTGCCTATATCAATGACAGGGCCAAGCCACGGTGGCAGGGGATGGGGTAGGGACTGTCTAGCTATTGACTGAAATCTCCATGGGGACATGGGAGATCAGGTGGAGAGTGATTTCATCCCCTTTTCCTCTAAGTATCAATGATTGTTGGAAAATCTTAATTTTCCCCTCAGATTTTTCCATTTCTCTCTAATTTTTGAATATTGATAGAAAACTCCCTCTAGTCTGACTTCCTGTACGTTGTAGGCCACAGAACCTCCCCCGGCTTCTCCTGTAATAGAACCTTAATCTCTGGCTGTGTTACTGAAGGCCTCAAATCAGGGTTTAAAGACTTCAAGTTACAGAGAATTCACCATTTACACTAGTTTAAACCTGCAAGTGACCTGTGACCCATGCTGCAGAGGAAGTCAAAAAACAAAAACAAAACCCCAGAGTCTCTGCTAATCTGATCCAGAGGAAAATTCCTTCCCAACCCCAAATATGATGATCAGTTAGACCCTGAGCATGTGGGTAAGATCCACCAACCAGACACCAGGGAAAGAATTCTCCGTAGTAACTTAGAGCCCTTCCAATCTAGTGTCCCATCACTGCCATTGGGGATATTTGCTGCTAGCAGTTGCAGATTGCCTACATGCCATTGTAGGCAGTCTCATCATACCAATTCCTCCTCCAAATTATCAAGCTCAGTATTGAAGCCAGTTAGATTTTTTGCCCCCACTGCTCCCTCTGGAAGGCTCCCTCTGATGGTTAGAAAGCTTCACTTAACTTCAAGCCAAAACTTGTCGATGGCCAGTTTATATCCATTTGTTCTTGTGTCCACATTGTATTTTTGTGGCACTTAACTTAAATACACTAGAACCTCAGAGTTATGAACACCAGAGTTATGAACTGACCAGTCAACCACTCAGCTCATTTGGAACTGGAAGTAGGCAATCAAGCAGTAGAGACCCAAAAAAGAAGCCAATACTGTACAGTACAGAACTGTGTTAAATGTAAACTACTAAAAAAATAAAGGGAAAGTTTAAAAGAAAGATTTGACAAGTAAGTAAACTCTTTCTGTGCTTCTTTCATTTAAATTAAGATGGTTAAGGCCGCATTTTTCTTCTGCATAATAAAGTTTCAAAGCTGCAATAAGTCAATGTTCAGTTGTAGACTTTTGAAAAAACAACCATAATGTTTTGTTCAGGTTTACGAACATTTCAGAGATATGAACATTTCAGAGTTACAAACAACCTCTGTTCCCGAGGTGTTTCTAACCCTGAGGTTCTACTGTAACTTCTCTCTCTCCCCCTGCTATTTATCCCTCTGATGTATTTATAGAGAGCAATCATATCTCCCCTCAGCCTTCTTTTGGTTAGGTTAAACTCTTTGAGTCTCCTCTCATAAGATAGATTTTCCATTCCTCGGATCATCCTAGTATCCATTCTCTGCACCTGTTCCAGTCTGAATTCATCTTTCTTAAACACGAGAGACCAGAACTGCACACAGTATTCCAGATAACGTCTCACTAGTGCCTTGTATGATGGTACTTCCCTGTCTCTACTGCAAATACCTAGCCTGATGCATCCTCACACTGCATTAGCTTTTTCATGGCCACACCACATTGGTGGCTCATAGTCATCATGTGATCAACCCACACAACTAGGTCTTTCTCCTCTTCTGTCACTTCCAGCTGATACGTTCCCAGTTTAGTAAAATTTCTTGTTGTTAGTCCCTAAATCCATGACTTTGCACTATTAAATTCCATCCCATTTCTTTTACTCCCATTTTCAAGATCATCCAGATCTTCTTGTATTATATTCTAGTTCTTCTTATTGGTAATACCTCTCAATTTTGAGTCATCTGCAAATTTTATTAGCTCACTCCCAATTTTTGTGCCAAGGTCAGTAATAAAAATGTTAAATAAGATTGGTCCCAAGACCAATCCCATAGGAACTCCATTAGTAACCTCCCTCCAGCCTCACAGTTCACCTTTCAGAATGACCCATTGTAGTCTCCCCTTTAACCAGTTCCTTATCCACCTTTCAGTTCTCATAGTAATCCCCATCTTCTCCAATTTAACTAATAATTTCCCATGTGGAACTATATCAACGCCTTACTGAAATCCAGGTAGATTAAATCTATTGCATGTCCTTTGTCTAAAAAATCAGTTATCTTCTCAAAGAGATCAGGTCAGTCTGGCATGATCTACCCTTTGTAAAACTATGGTGTATTTTATCCCAACTACCTTTAAGCTCTATCTGCTTAACTACTTTCTCTTTCAAAATTTGTTCCAAGACCTTGCATACAACTGAGGTCAAACTAACAGGCCTGTAGTTTCCCGGATCACCGTTTTTTCCCTTTCTTAAAAATAAATACTATTTTTGCAATTCTCCAGTAATAGGGTACCACCCCCGAGTTTACAGGTTCATTACAAATCCTTGCTATTGGGCTTGCAATTTCATGTGCCAGTTCCTTTAATATTCTTGGATGGTAATTATCCAGGCTCCTTGATTTTGTCCCATTAAGCTGTTTGAGTCTGACTTCCACCTCGGATGTGATAATTTTTACTTCTATATCCTTATTCCATTAGCAACCCTGTCACTACCCTCAAGCTCTTCGTTAGCCTCATTAAAACCAGAGGCAAAGCATTTGTTTGGGTTGTTGGGCCATGCCTAGATTATCCTTAATTTCCACCCATCCTTCGTGTTCAGCCCTCCCACATCTTCTTTCCTTGTTTTCTTTTTCTTTATATGGCTGTAGAACCTTTTTACTATTGGTTTTAATTCCATTTGCAACGTCCAGCTCTGATTGGCTTTCAGCAGTTCTCACTTTATCCCTACACTTTCTGATCTCCAAGAGATAGCTCTCCTTGCTGATCAATCCCATCTTCCATTTCTTGTAGACTTTCTGCTTTCTCTTGAGATGCTTGCTCATCCAGGTTGGTCTGCAACCTTTCCCTATGATTTTTTTTCCCTTGCTTGGGGTGCAGGCTTCAGATAATTTCTGTAACTTTCACTTAAAGTAATTCTAAGCCTTCTCCATCTTCAGATCCTTGAGTTCTTCAGTCCAGCCCACTTCCCTAACTAATTAGCTTAATTTTTTAAGGTTTGCCCTTTTGAAATTAAGGACCCTAGTTGCAGTTCTATTTTTGTTTATCCTTCCTTTTAGTTAGTTTAAACTGAATTAGCTCATGATCACTCAAACCCAGGTTGTCCTCTACAACTAGTTCTTTGAGGTCCTCAGTACTCACCAATACCAAATTAAAAATGGCATCACCTCTTGCGGCTTCAGCAATTATTTGGTGGAGAAATCTGTCAGTTATCACATCCAGGAAAACCCAGGCTCTACTATTATTAGTAGCACTTGTCCTTCAATCTAGTTCTTGGAAGTTAAAGTCTCCCATAATCATACAATGCCCAGTAGTATTTATTTAATTAAAACCATTAAAAGGTCTCTCTCTATATCCAAATCAGATCCCGGGGTCTGTAACACACTCCAAGTCCTATCTCAGGGAAAACTTTAGTAGCTTTCTTCCCCAAAGTGATTTTGGCCGAAACTAACTTTCTTATCCATTCCATCACTTCTAATTTCTTTACAGTCTACCTCATAATTAGCATACAATGCTACTCCACCACGTTTGTTGTCATTTCTGTCTTTCCTGAACAGCCCATACCCTTCAATCCCTGTACTCCAGTCATGACTACTAGTCCATCATGTTTCTGTTATCCCTATAATATCTGGTTTCTCTTCTTGCACCAGTAGTTCTAGTTCCTTCATTTTGTTACCCAGGCTCCTTGCATTGGTGTAAAAACATCTTGACTGGTGTTGCTGCTGTTCCCTCATTGCTGCCCTCTCCTAACTGTCACAGAACCTGCCAGCCTCATCTCCCAACTGCCAAACAACTGCCCTTCCACCACCGCTTCCCTCTCCCAACTGTCATGGAACCTTCCAGCCTCATCTCCCAACTGCCAAACAACTGCCCTTCCCCCACTGCTTCCGTCTCCCAACTGTCATGGAATCTTCTGGCCTCATCTCCCAACTGCCAAACAGCAGCCCTTTACATGCTGCTGTCCCTCCCAACCGTTTTCCTGCTCCATCCTCCCCACCCTTCTCCTGTCACAGCCATTTTGCCCTGTGCTCCTGGCTGCCTGTGCAAATGTTTGGTTGGGAACAAACCCTCACTTTCTCTAATTATCAAACGGATGTACAGTCTCCTCATATTTTACCACATTTCTATATCCCCCTTTTTAACTTCTGGTTTTAGAGGGAAACAATTGCCCTTAGTTGACATATCTTTTAGCCTGTCAACTTTCAAATATAAGACTTACTATGTGACAAAGGTCCAAAAGCATTAATAGAAATATACTATTAATTTAAATTAATAAATTATTAATATAAATCCCCTGGGATTTTACCCCTTCCCTCCCCCATCTAATTATCCAGTACTTATGGAAAATCTCAATTTCCCTCTCAGGTTTTGCCATTTTTGTCTAATTCTTGAATATCAATAGAAAATCCCAATGTGCTTTTCTCTAAGTAATGACCAAACATTGATCAGATTCCTCAGATCCCCCCAATAATTAAATATCAATATAAAGTCCCCTTAGACTATGCTCCTCTACATATCAATCAGTTATGTGACATCTCCTCAGACTGCCATTTTCTGTTTAATTATCCAATATTCATATTTTATATGAATAGCAAAGCTCTTTCAGATTTGGGGGTTTCCCACCCTTTTAAAGTGCCATAAATTCTCCTTATTTTGGAGGGGAAATGTTGCCTTGAGTCATTACCTCAGTTCTCCTTAGCTACCTGCTTCCCTAGATTGGTGGAGTCCCTTGACACCCTTGAACAGGCAACCTTAATTTCAGTATTTCCTAACTTTTGCTGCTGGACTTTGTAATTTTAATGTTCTTTTAACGTAGGTTTTTTTATGTTATTGATTAATACATGCTGCCTAGTGTATAAATATACATCATGTAATGTATTAAGCACCATTAAGCACAAATATTGTAACAATGATATAGCCTAAACTGACCTATACCATAATCTTGTACACTTATGCTAAGTATCCCTAACACCTTGAATTAGCTGAAGTAAACCTTGGCTTGAGTAGATAGAAAAACCGTCAGTATCCAGACAGATTACATCTTCATGACGGTAGGAAAGGAGTTACACACAAACCTAGGAGGTGCTTTCAAGTCCCTTAGTACTTGGAATGCATGTGCTCAAAACAAAAATAATGGTGCATCGTGACCTGAAAGACATAGGGTGACCAGATGTCCCAATTTTATAGGGACAGTCCCGATTTTTGGGTCTTTTTCTTATATAGGCTCCTATTACCCCCCACCCCTTGTCCTGATTTGTCACATTTGCTGTCTGGTCACCCTAGAAAGACATGGGTTCAGAACAAAAGATAAAGGAGTAAATCTGGTATCAAAACCAAACAAGGTAGAAAGCTGATTAATTAAATCCAGTTTCAAATGACGTATGTGATGCCTTTTACTGGTAAAAAAGTAGGGTACAAAAGAATGGCTGTAGGGGTGTAACTCTGGGAGGACACCTGTGTGAGATTAATATAACTTCGCTGCATGGGACTGATCCTCAGAAACTGGTATCATATAGTACCTTTTTCCTGTACCATATTGATAAACCTGCCTGACATGTAATATTTGGTCTCGGGAGTATATTTCATAACACAGTAACAAGCCAAAGTATAGTCAAGCAATTGACTATACAATTTATCAACAGTGTAATAAAAAAAAACAGATCAAGCTTCTTGAACCTCCCACTGTAAGACATTTTCCAGACCTCAAATAATTCTTACAATCTTGTATTCCTTTTCTTACACTTGTTCTTGTAGTTCTTTTCTGAATCCTTTCCAGTTTGTCAAAGTCCTGTGTGAAGTGTGGACACCAAAACTGACACACAGTATCCAGCAATGGTCTCACTAATGCCATACACAGAAGCAACATCCCTTTCTTGGTCCTACTTCATATTCTCCTGCTTATACATATGAAGGCCACATTCAGCCTCCCAGCTACACTATTGCACTGGGAGCTCATGTTCATTTGTTTACCTATCATGACCCCTAAGTCCTTTTCAGTGTCGCTGCATTCCACGATACTATCCCCATCCAGGGAATGTAACCTACATTTTTCATTCCTAGATGCGTGATCATGTATTTAGCTGTATACACATGCATGGTGTTCAAATAAAACAATCCAGATTGCTATGTATAAATGGCTTGTCCCCATTGTTATTTGCCACTCCACCTAATTTGTGTCATCTGCAAATTTTACTACCAATGATTTTGTATTTCTTTCCAGATCACTGATAAAAATACTGAATATCATTAGGCCAAGAACAGAGCTCTGCAGGACCCCACCAAAAAAATAAACACCCACATGCACATGAGGAATCCTAACTTACAATTACTTTCTGAGATCTAACAACTAGCCAGTTTTCACTCCATTTAATATGGGTGCCCTGGTTTTGTATGGTGCTAACTGTTTAATCAGAACGCTGTGTGGTACTAAGTCAAATGCCTTACAGAAGTCTCAGTACATCATGTCAAGAGAGTTACCTTTGTCAACCAAACTTGTGATCTCATCAAAAAGTGACATCAGGTTTATTTGACAAGATCTATTTTCCACAAAACCAAACTGACTCACAGGCATTAGTTCTTTAGTGATTGCAACCCATAGCAGCTGCTCTGTGATCTTCCCCAGTATTGATATCAGGCTAAGTGACCTAGAGATACTCAGGTTTACACTTTTAAATATTGGTTTGACACTGGGGAGTTCCAGAGGACTGGAAAAAAGCTTGGTGTTCCAGGATTTCTTAAAAATCACAATTATTCCCACAAATCTCCAGAGGAGTGAGAAACAGGGGAGAGGGGGCAGAGATGAATGGTGGGGGATATGAGCCTGGGGCTTGGGAAAGGGAGAAAATGAAGGAGCAGCCATGAGAGGGGGAGATAAGCAGGAGCAAATAAGATGCAGAAGACTGGAGCACTGAGCTTGATTAATGTGTATGTGACTTTCCAGGGACTTCCATATTACATTCAAAACCGTTATGTAAAACACAGTGTTACGGTTGCAAAGATGAACACTCAAAGGTTGGGAATGCCAGAATTAATCTTGCCCATGCAACCTTATTTCAGCTTCCTTGTGCATATGCATTATTATAGTCTTTAATTACATGATCACAAACTGTTTTTTCCTCATTCAGAGCACAGGATGGACAGTGTTCATTGAATGGTAGCTATTCAACAACCCTTTTTATCCTCCACATTGATCGTGTGGTCCCATGCGTTATTCACTGCACACCATTCAAACCATGCACTGAATACAGAATTAATGATTCCTCATGGGCTTTTCAATGCTGCTGTCATCGTAGTATCTTAGTTCTTTACCAACGTCAATGAATTTATCTTCACAACAACCCTGTGGGATATGGCGTTATTATGCCATTTATACACAGGGAACTGAAACACAGAGACGAAAGCCAAAATTGTCAAAAATGTCTTCTAATTTTGCATGCCCAATCAGAGGTGCTGAAAACCTGATTTTTCAGAGTACTTAGTATTACATAGCACCATATCTGTTCAAAGCAGAGCTTCCTTTGACCTCATTCACATTTGTGGTGCACAGCACTTCTGCAAATCAGACTCCAGGCTCTCAGTTGGGCACCTGGAAAATGAGGAACACACAGAGTGTGTCTACACTGCAATGTAATCCCAAGGTGAGAGGGACTTGAATCAGTTGACCCATGTTAGGGAAGCCTGTGAAAAGTTCAATTTAAGTGGCTTGCCCAACATCATATAGAACTGCATGGCAGAGGCAGGAGTATAATCCAGTTCCCACACAGTTGTCAGAGAAAACTCCCCATATAGAATCATAGAAATATAGGGCTGAAAGGGACCTCAAGAGGCCATCTAGTTCATCCCCATGCACAGAGACAGGATTAAGTATCCTAAATGATTTCTGACTGGTCTTTAACTTGTTCTTAAAAACTTCCAGATATCTTTGCCCCAACTGGCATCTAACAACATATGAAATGCTGCTGGTTCAAAGATTTGGGGAGGGGTGTATGTGAAAAATGTTGAAAGAAAATTAACAGTTTCATTCAAAACTTTTCACTTTCCCCTTCATTTTTTTAAGAAAAAAAAGCACAGTGAAATTTTTCAATTAGAAATATTTTGTTTATATTTTTTTCATTAAAAAATTTGGACAGAAAAAGGGGATAAAAATCTGTTTTGAAATTTTTTTTCTATAAATTTCAGTTTGTATTCTGAATATCGCCTGTATTTCTCTCCAACACTGGAAGTGGACAGGGGTTTTCATATTCCATCGCTCCCCACCCCCAAGCAAGCCAGTACTCCCTAGTCCCCGCAAATGTTCAGCCCTGGGTGCTCACCTCTCTGCTGTCCCCTCAGCCCCGCACCTTCCCCATACCTGGCTTATTATCTATTTCCTGGAGGATCGGGGGCTCCTCTTTGGGGACACAGAGTGGTTCATACTGGTGTCCTGGGGTATCAGCTCGTCCCACCTCCTCCTGGGATACACATTCGTGATGGGACTGCAGCTGCTCTAGCTGCGAGCCGGGAGCATCCCATAATGCCTCAGGGGAAGCAATCTTCTCCGAAGTCACTTCCTCAACCTTCACACGCACCGTGACCTGAGGATGAGCCAAAGACATCACAGTGTAGCTGGTCCCTGGAACCCACAGGGGAGAGTGGAGTCTGAGAGGGGAGCCTTCGGGGAACATCCTCAAGAAACACAGAGATGGTGGAAGGGACTACAGACCCAAGCTAGATTTCCAGGCTCAGCAGGGGGCACTGTGGAGGGCAAGTAACAAAACAGAGACCCTTACAGTAACACAGGAGCATAAGGAAGAGAATGCCCCTTGAACACACTCTGTGCAGGGCCTGAGGCACCATGTCAAAAAGCCAATTAATAATAAGAATAGTAATAAGCTAAATGAAGTGATGCCCACACAACCAGGTTCTGCCAGGTCAGACAAACAGATTGTCAGAGGCTTGTGAAATTAGGAACCCAGGAACTGCCAGACTGGATCAGACCAGTGGTCCATCTAGCCCAGTATCTCATCTCTGACAGTGGCCAGCACCAGACGCTTGAGAAAGAGGTGTAAGGACCCCATCATTATGGGGAAATCTTCTCCCCAGGAAAGATCGCTCCTGATCCCCAATATCGAGGTCAGCTGAGGTAGGTGAAGTTGGATATATACTACAGGTTGTACCTTGCTGGCCCGGCACCCTCGGGACCTGACTGGTCCCGAACCAGGGAACTTGCTGGGCTGGGGGGGTCAGGTCAATGCCGGCCCCTCTGCTGCTGCCAGCCGTGGGTCTGTGCTCCGGCGGCAGCAGAGGGGCTGGCACTGACGGAGCAGAGACAGGGTGGCACTCCGGGGAAGAAGTGGGGCAGCTGCAGAGCCCTGCAGCCAGGGGCCCAGAGTGGAGCCCCGCAGCCGGCAATGGAGCCCAGGAGCACTCCTGGCCCCCGGACACAGGGCTTCACAGCTGCTTTGCTTCGTCCCCTGAGCACCACCCTTTCCCCTCTCCTCTCCCTCCCTCCCTGAGCTTGAAAGCGGCAAATCAGCTGTTTGCAGTGCTCCAGAAGCTCTGGGAGGGCGGGAGAGGAGTTTCTAAGCCTGGGGATGCTGGCTTTTCCCTGTGATTGCTCCAGCCCCGGAGCACCCATGGGGTCGTAGAGGATGCTGGACCACAGATGTTGCTGGACAAGGGAAGTCCAGATTAAAGAGGTACAACCTGTAGTATAACCCTGGAAAGTCCTTCTATCCATAAATATATCCAATCCATTTGTTGTACCCTGCTCCATTCTAGGCTTCAAATAGCATATTGTGTTGTGTGGAAACGGACTTGAAATTTTACATTTTGCTTTATGCCTAGTGGCTTGCTATCCCCTTATTCATGTAATAGGAGACAGGGCGAATAAAAGATCCCAGTTCAATGCCTCTATGATATCCCTTCTTATTCTTCTCCTTTCAAAGGTATGCTGGATCCCTTTCTTCCTCTAGCTCTGATCATGAACCAAAGAGAATCTTGCAGCCCTTCAGTACCAGCTCCTACATCCAGCCATCACTCCCCGCCTAATAGGAACAGCCTTTGCTCTCTGCTTGCTCTAGGGAGAGGGACTGGATGCTGAGTTTACAGCACAGCAGTCTGGTCTGTGAGCATCCAGTCCCATCTGGAGCCTGTCTATATATTTGGCCTCTTCTTTCCCTCCCCACCAGTCTCCACTGGGATTATCAAATTAAAATATTCTTACCTGCTGCTCCCATAATCCAGCCTCTGGCTGCCTCAGTTGGAACCCCTCTGCCAGGGCCACCGCTTGGGCGCAGTTCTCTGGGCCACGTTCCCAGACCCAGTTCTGCATTTCCTCCGGCAGGATGGTCAGGAACTGCTCCAGGATCAGTAGCTCCAGGATCTGCTCCTTGGTGCGGCTCTGCGGCTCCAGCCAGCGATGGCAGAGTTCCTGGAGGCGACTGTAAGCCTCCCGGGGCCCCTCGGCCTCTTGGTAGCGGAATTGCCTGAAGCACCGGCGCCGTGTCTCCAGGCGGGTGTCCTCCCCTTGCAGGATGGCAGCTTTCACCTTCCCATAGTCTCTGCTGTCTCTAGCCTCCAGGCTGCTGTAGGCCTGTCGGGCTTTTCCGCTGAGTGCTGGCACGAGTCGCGTTACCCACTCTCCTCTCGGCCACTGGCAGGCATTAGCCACATGCTCGAAGTTGGCCAGATAGGCCTCGATATCGTCCCCTGGTGCCAGCTCAGGTAGCTGTAGCGTCACTGGGGCCGGCACAACTTCAGGAGGGGTCCATAGGGCCTGCAGCACCTCCTGCCACTGGACTTCCCAGCGCTGGGGTGGCTCGTCCTGCCTCTGAGGCCTGGACTGTTGTGGAGCCGCCCATCTCAATAATTCCCCGATGGTCCCAGAGCAGACAACAAAGGGAAGGTTCTCTCCTTGCTCCACTCCTTGCCCTGGCTCGAGGCCTGGTGTGTCTTGTTCTTCCCTTTTTACTGGGGGCTGCACCCCCTGCTCTAAAGGCACCTGTAATTGGAGACCCAAATCTGCACTTGTACCCAGGTCTGTGGCCATGGTCTGTCTCCGGAGCGGCTGCACTTCGAGCTAGGGCCTGGACTCTCAGACGCCAATCTCAATAAACATGAGTGGAACCTGTCGGGAGCATCCAGCCTCCTCCTTCGCAGCCTGCAGCAAAAGATCCATATGAAACACTACATTAAAAGTACGGTACTTAGGTTGCAAAGCCAACCACTGGAATGTTAGGACATTCCAAGATTTGCCCATTCAGCATTAACTCTGCCCACTTGTGCATCCCTCTGGTGCCCTGAGTGTGTCCTGTGGAAAAAAAATAGGATGAAACTATCTAATTAAATTAATGCAGATGAATAAAGCAGGCAACCGTGAATCTACCATTTCCTAACTTATGGGTGCTGCTTGACTTTGCTACCTAAACAATGTTCTTTTAACAGAGATTTTTGTACGTAATTTCCAAATATTTTTTATTTTAATACAGACATTCCCAGTACCGTACCTGCTGCTATTGGGTCATCGAGAGGCCAGCCTTACAACATTTCGGTGTTCAGCTATTATTTTGGCAAGCTGCTGACGTTTTCCTGAGGAACAAAATCAAGAGGAGGGAAATGGCCATTTTTAGCAGTTTATAACTCAGTAGGGTGACCAGGTGTCTTGTTTTTGGGGAGCTTTTCTTGTACAGGTGCCTATTACCCCCCACCCCCGTCCCGTTTTTTCACAGTTGTTATCTGGTAACCCTAAAACTCAGCCAAATCTGAACAGAATTTCATGGGACAAAGAAGAGGCACTTCTCCAGCCTGCTGCAAAGAGCAGAGGAATGGGAGCATCTCAAAGAAAAAGTTGCAAGAATTTTTTGTACGGAAAAGTGTTTGGTGACCTAAATACTAGAGCCCCCTGCAATAAATGTAGTGAGGGCAAGACCCACGACTTGTACCCCCAGCTCACTGTCCCCCTCAGCACAGACAGGTCCCTCCTTGACCCTCCCCCCCCCATCTCTTGCGGTGGGGGCTCTTGTTCCTCAGGTCCCAGAGGGAGCTGCAAAGAGAAAAGCCCCCGCCGGGGGGACATGTCCTGAATGGGCATGTCCCCCTGAGCATCGGGATGATGGAGGACTCCCCATCGACCAGGGCAGGAGGCAGGGGGCGGCAGCCCTTCTCCCTTGTGGCTCCTGCAGTAGGGACGTACCTGGGGCTGGGGCTCCTGTTCTTCCGATCCAGCGCCTCCGTCTGCTCTGTTCTCTCTATGTATCCAGCAACTGCTGAATCCCCGCCCCGGAGCCCGCAGGTGTTGGGGAGCTGGGACACTGGGAGGGGGTGTCCCTGAGCAGGGGAGCCCTAGACGATGCTGAGGGGCTGGTCCTACCTAGGAAGTGACAAGGATGCTGGAGAAGGGTTAATCCCACCTCTGCAAAACCAGGACTGGCTGGGCTTGCTGTCAGTCCGGGCGAATCCCTCCCCTGCCTTGACGGCCAGCCCCTAATTGGGATTGGATCATGTGGGAGTATTGAATGTCCAGCACTCCCCCACGGCAACAGCTGCAGCCTCTTGTGAGGAAGCCTGACAGACCATCCCCTCACACAATACTGTAATACAGTGGTGAGTCTGAGTGTACTATCAGAGCCCCCCGGGATAGAATAGACTAGACTAGAATAGCCCCTCACTGTAATGCCACAGGACCAGTCTGGCACGGAGACATTTAACTTCAAATCCGCATGTTCTGCGGTAATTGGGGGATGCTGCACAGACACACAGTGACTGAGATTATTGTGCCAGCAGGTGCTGCACAGACATTCAGGGAGAGACAGTCCCTGGGTTGAAGTGTTTGTAAACTAAATAGGCTAGAGAGGCAAAGCGTGGGAGAAAGAGCGTATTGCTCCCATTTTACAGATGTATGGATTCTAAAGCCAGGAGTGATCACTGGATTATCTAATCTGACCTGCCTAATCTAAACCACATAATGAGATCTCAGGCACAGAGATTGAGTGACTTGTCTAAAAGAAAGAGGAGCAGAAGAGGCAATTGGGCAGAGGCAGAGTGGCTTGGTGGGTAATGGTGCTAGACAAAGATCTGGGAAACCTGACTTCTGTTTCTAGCTCTGTAACCGAGTTCCTCTTTTCCTCTCTCTGTGCCTCTGTTTCCTTTCCCATTCTTTATCTATCTGGTTTATTTAACGTGTATGCTCTTCAGGAACGGGATATTCTGTCACAGGATGTCTGTACAACACCTGGCACAATGAGTGCTGATCTCAGTCACTGTTTCAGAGTAGCAGCCATGTTAGTCTGTATCCGTAAAAAGAAAAGAAGTACTTATGGCACCTTAGAGACTAACAAATTTATTAGAACATAAGCTTTCATGAGCTTGCGCTCTAATAAATTTGTTAGTCTCTAAGGTGCCACAAGTACTCCTTTTCTCAGTCACTGTGTTTCTGTGCAATGCCCAGCACAATGGGGCACCAATTTCAATCACCTTGTGTTTGTGTAGTGCCTGGCACAATGGGGCACTGATCTTGGCTGCTGTGTATGTCAGTTTCTAAATGTTTCTACACTACATCCAAAGAACCCATGTTAAAAGAATGTTAACATTGCAAAGTCAAACACTCAAAAGTTAGGAAGCACCAGAACTAAGGTTCTCCATGCAATCTTATTTCAGTTCCCTTGTGTGTATGCATTATGATTACAGTCTTTAATTACATAATCACATAATGTTTTTTTCCACAGGACCCCTGCCTTATTTAGAGCACAGGATGGACTGTGCTCACTGAATTATGGGTAGCTGCTCAATAATATCCTCATCGTTCAGTGTGTGGCCCCAGGCCTGACTTACTGAAGACCATCCACCCCCTGCTCTGCTCCCACAGTTATTGATTCCTCCTGGGCTTTTGTATGATCTTTTTCCATCTTCCCTCATAGGTCATGTTTTCTAGACCTTTAATCATTTTTGTTGCTCTTCTCTAGACTCTCTCCAATTTGTCCACATCCTTCCTGAAATGTGGTGCTCAGAACTGGACACAATACTCCAGATGAGTCCTAATCAGTGTAACCCTTCTGCCTGTCAGAGTTGGCAGCAACAAGGGCTGGGTTCAGTATCTAGGGGTTCCATTCCAATAACACAATGCAAAACCGGCTCGAGCCTCTACCCAGTGACCTGGGACAAATATATACCACCCCTTCTGGACGCCTCCAAGAGGCAATACTTCCCCTCTCGCAAGCACCTAGTCTGAGTGTAACAAAAAGCCTTTTAATAACAGAGAGAAACAATGTGGCATTATGTTGGGGAAACACCACCAACAGGGTTCATAACACAACCCATGAGCAAAAACCCACCCCAAGCAAATTGGGGCATGTCCTTTCCCTTTAGTTCTTGAGTCCAGCAACCCAAAATCACCCAAAGTCCCAAAAGTCCAACAACCCAAAAGTCTCTGTCCCTGGTCAGGGCAGCCCCAGAGTTCAAAAGTTTACCTGCAGAGTTTTACCTCCCAACCTGGGTGGAGATTGGGGGGTGGGGGGTTAAGGGGCACCTTACATGGTCCAAAGCTGATGGCCCCACCTCTCCATGGGGCTCCACTCTGCCAGCCACCCATGGGCTGCTCTAGGCATCCAACAAACTGCTCCGCTCCACCAGCCGCTCCGCTCTGCTCACCGTCCCGCAAACTGCTCCGCTCCACCAGCCACTCTGCTCGCTGTCCCGCAAACTGCTCCACCATATATCTTCAGGCTCCCCCACTACTTAACACAACACTCAGCAATTACAGCTCTTAGTAAGTTTAGCTCTTTTGTGATTTCAGCTTGTAGTAGGGGAGCCTCAGTGCTGGTGCACTATTAGCCCAAAGTAAATTCAGTTCAGCAGCCTGTAACTAGACTCCTAATGGAATCAAAATTAGCTCTAATATTCCACAGTGGAAAGATAAGGCAGTACAATTAGCATATAAGACCCTCACTAGGGGAACTCTACTACCAAGTACTAATACCTATCCCCAACCTCTCTCAATTCACAGAGTTTTGGAACCCATGTCCCTTGCCTAGCGAGTGCTACTTAGTTGATGGTGAGTCCCTCCATCATAACAAAAGGCCAAGTGCAGTTCCACTGTCCTTGATTCCCATAATCAGGGTAATAACAATTTATTCTTCCTGCCCCAATAACAGAGACACTGGGGATCCCACAGCAGCCAAAGTGACCATTTGGGCAGCTATGGCCTCATTCTAGGAGGGGTGGGTGTGCCTATGCAAATGAGATCAGCCCCTGAAGTTCTTTTCCACAACTTGCCACACCTCACCACCAGATGTCAGAGTGGAGCTCATCCTGACTCTGCTTACATCAGCATGGAGTAGAGTGGAAAAATTACTTCTCATGTCTTGCTTACAACACTCCTGTTAATACATCCCAGAATGATTGCTTTTTTTTTTTTTTGCAACAGTGTTACACTGTTGATTCATGTTTAGCATGTGATCACTATGATTCCCAGATCCTTTTTCACAGCTTGTTCCTAGGCAGTGATTTCCCACTTTTTGTGTGTGCAACTGATTGTTCCTTCCTAAGCTTGCATTTGTCCTTATTGAATTTCATCCTATTTACTTCCGGCCATTTCTCCAGTTTGTCCAGATCATTTTGAACAAAAGTAACATAAGTACAGCCATACTGGGTCAGACCAAAGGTCCATCTAGCCCATTATCCTGTCTCCCAACAGTGGCCAATTCCAGGTGCCCCAGAGGGAATGAACAGACAGATAATCATCAAGTGATCCACCCCCTGTCGCTCATTCCCAGTTTCTGGCAAACAGTGGCTAGGGACACCATCCCTGCCCATCCTGGCTAATAGCCATTGATGGACCTATCCTCCATGAATTTATCTAGTTCTTTTTGTAACCCTGTTATAGTCTTGGCCTTTACAACATCCTCTGGCAAAGAGTTCCCTGGGTTCACTGTGCATTGTGTAAAATAATACTTCCTTTTATTTGTTTTAAACCTATTAATTTCATTTGGTGACCCCTAGTTCTTGTGTTATGAGAAGGAGTAAATAACACTTCCTTATTTACTTTCTCCACACCAGTCATGATTTTATAGACCTCTATCATATCCCCTCTTAGTTGTCTCTTTTCCAAGCTGAAAAATCCCAGTCTTATTAATCTCTCCTCATACGACAGCTGTTCCATGTCCCTAATCATTTTTGTTGCCCTTTCCTGAACCTTTTCCAAGACAAATATATCTTTTTTGAGATAGGGTGACCACATTTGCACACAGTATTCAAGATGTGGGCATACCATGGATTTATATAGAGGCAATATGATATTTTCAGTCTTATTATCTATCCCTTTCTTGATGATTCCCAACATTCTGTTAGCTTTTTTGACTGCCGCTGTACATTGAGTGGATGTTTTCAGAGAACTATCCACAAGGACCTCAAGATCTCTTTCTTGAGTGGTGACTGCTAATTTAGACCTCATCATTTTATATGTATAGTTGGAATTATGTTTTCCAATGTGCATTACTTTGCATTTATCGACATTGAATTTCATCTACCATTTTGTTTCCCAGTCACTCAGTTTTGTAAGATCCTTTATAACACTTTGCAGTCTGCTTTGGACTTAACTATCTTGAGTAGTTTTGTATCATCTGCAAATTTTGCCACCTCACTGTTTACCCCTTTTCCCAGATCTTTTATGAATATGTTGAATAGTACTGGTCCCAGCACAGGCCCCTGGGAGACACCACTGGTTACCTCTCTCCGTTCTGAAAACTGACCACTGTTACCTATTAACCAGTTACTGATCCATGAGAGGACCTTCCCTCTTATTCCAAGACAGTTTAACATGACATGAATTTTAATCCTATTCTCCAAAGCACTTGCAAACCTTTCCAGCTTGGTATTGTCCGCAAACTATATAAGTATACTTTCTATGCCATCATCTAAATAATTGATAGAGACATTGAAAAGAACCAGACCCAGAACTGATCCATGCGGGACCCCATTCGTTATGCCCTTCCAGCATGACTGTGAACCATTGATAACTACTCTCTGGGAATGGTTATCCAACCAGTTATGCACCCACCTTATAATAACTCCATCTAGGTTGTATTTCCCTAGTTTGTTTATGATGTTGTTGTCCTCTTACTTCTTTACAGACCTTAATACATTTATATCTTCACAACCCCCCTGTGAGTGTAAGGAATAATTGTTTTCCCTATTTTACACCAAAATTAAAGCCAAAATTGTTAAAAATGCCACAAATTTTGGGTGCTTAATTGGAGATGCCTAGGGCCAGATTTTTCAGAGCGCCGAGCATTTTTACAGCACTTTATATATTCAAGCACAGCTCCCATTGACCTTAGTTGCAGCTGTGTGTACTCAGCACCTCTGTAAATCAGACCCAGCTCTCTAAAGTTGAG